ATATAATTTCTTTTAAATCAAATATTATCCGTTCTGAAATCTAATTAGCATCGAGATTGTAACTTCTTAAAATTGGAAGTGCTTCCTATTTAAGGCAGTCATGGAGCCAATATATTTTTTAAAACGAACTAAAATGTTGAGAAGTAAATACACGAAGAAATCAAAAAAATTGAATATTTATTATATAAACATAAAAAAATAATTAAACTTCGTATATATATATATTTTATGTATGTATAATGTAATTTTTTTGATAAAGCAGTGGGAAGGAGCTCTTTATGAGGTTCTATCTAGCTGTGTCTTGATTAAAGACAAAGTTATTCATAAGACTCGAATTTGAGATTTTTGATTATTTAGCGGTAGTCTATAGTGGTGAGTCCACATGATTTATTGCTCATTGACTAAGTTCCAATTTTTTTTGTTGTGTACTATGTTGTACCAATTAGCTTGTTGCACTTGCCACCTTTTTATGGGACATTAGGAATTTTTTTTCTTTGTGGCAATAAAATTAAAAAAAAAACTCGACTCTATATGTATGTTAGTAAATATCTCCCTTGTCATATGATATATTAGGAGATATTTTTTATTTTATGTATCATTAGTTGAGATTGGCCAAAATTAAGCTATTTTTAAAGCAAGGTTATAATTTATTATATCTAGATGAAATTAAAGCAATAAAGAACAAAAATTTAATTTAACAAGAATTACTAATAGATTGAAGAAGAAAAATTCACTAAAAAACCAAACTTTTTTTTTCTTTTTTGTGTATAAATAAAAGAATGGGATTTTTTTAAAAAAATTTAAAAACAAAATGTTAGACAAACAAGTCATTTTCACCATAATGATTATATTTATTCCCAATTTTAGCCTTTTGCTATCACACATCCATTTGTTTGTTCTTGAATTGTATCTTATCCCTTAGATGCATGAAATATCTTCAAACATTTGATGAAGAAAAATTCCAATTTTCTAGTTTTTTTAATATACACAAGTTGAAGTTTAATTTCACAAGGATAAACATATCTTTTTACGAAATATTTACACTAATTTAATTTAATTCATCATGATTAAATAATTTTGATGAAATAATGATATTATTAATTAACCATGAATAGTGATAAATATAAATATACAAACACATGTCATGTTGCATGTATTTACTGATTTGATGTAAAATCAGATTCTCGATAAATTATTTATATATATAATAAGTGATTTTTTCAAATATAATAAAATAATTTACGTCAAATTTAATGAATTCTATAAAACTCGTAATCGATATACCCTAAGTATAAATATTTGATGCGGATAAATTTTTACGGTTTAACAAGTGCTTTTCGTCAAGGACAACTTGATAGTATTTGGACATCAAATCTTAAACCCTGTCACTAATAATCGCTTTCATCTTGGTAGCATTCAATGGTTTGAATAATGTAGGGCCAAAATTAATATTTCTTAAAATATTTAGATGGTGAAATAAATCTCTTTCATTTTCACAAATATATATTAATTGCTTGATTCTTAAAAACACTATAACGTCCTCATTAACAAGCATGTAATATTTATTTGTATTCGATGTTTATATATAATATATATCAATAATAATAATATAATCGTTGTATTTTAGTAATGAGATTTGAGAAAAATTATACATATGCAATTTTACTCTTACCTTGCAGAGATAAATAAGACCATAAGAGTAAAAATTTACAAAAAAAAACATTAAAAGTTTCGTGAGGTAATTTTTTCCCCTTAAGTGGTTTTTGGATTATATTATTTTTGTAAAGAAAACCAAAAAAAATTGTATGTTCATATGTATTTAATTTCTTCACCTATTTCCCGCTCCACTATGCCCCATGTATTTTTATTTTTTTTTTAAAAAGAATGCTATAAACCATGATTAAAATGCATCAACTATAAATTAATATTAGATAAATTCATTAGCAAAAGGGATATATATGAATCTAATTAAATCCTTGTCCTCCCACTTTCACACAAGTACATTACATTATAAACATGCATATTATTCTATTGTATTTTATAATGTGAATAACAATGGCACAAAACCCCACTTGTAAGGGTGCTTTTATTAAATATACTAAAGTGTCAATCTCTCAAAACTCATTGTCAAACAACTACTACTCCCTTCGTCCCATTTTATACGACACTTTTTGAATTTCGAGATTCAAACAAGTCTAACTTTGATCGTAGATTTTTCATAGATCTTATAAACATTTTGAAATTGTTGTGACTTGTAGTATTTTTACGTAGTTTACAAATATATAAATTTCATTTCAAAAAAATTGAAGATTTCAAGTGCAAATTTCCGATCAAACTTAAACTGTTTGACTCTCGAAAAATAAAAAGTGTCACATAAATTGAGACAAAGGGAGTATTAATATTTAATAGCCACCATAAGAACTATATCACATAGATCTAGTTCACACTTTATTTTAATTTTATGTTCTCTTATTTTATGTGTCATTTTATCAACCTTCACACAGTCTTATAGATTTATCTTTTGAACAATGCTATTATCGACTATCGAGTGCTTTAACTTTACCTCACTTTAGGTTACTTCACGTTTCATTGCAAGAAGTGATCGTTTCTGTGAAGTCGCCTCACTTTATGATTCACGTTTCGTTGCAAGAAGCGATCGCTTCTGTGAAGACGCCCCACTTTATGGTCATGAAGCACATTAATTTTGTGTCGCTTCACAAGATAAAACACCTAATTTTTACAACACTATTTCAAAAACGTATGTTTCATGTGAAATTGTACTATACGTTATAGCTTTTCACTTTCTTCTCTTATTTTTATGCGCGATTCAATGAAGGTATTATAGAATTCCTAAAATGAAATGTCATGATGTAAATTTTCATGAAATTAATCAAGTCAGTAAATTTCAAATATCACACAATTATTATTTTAAAAAAAAGAAAAATCAAAGAAGTTGTCCACTACTTAAAAATTAGGATTTGGGCCAACCTCCACTTGAATATTCTACCTTTTTATTTTTTCAACTTTATCAAGATCAATATCACATTAATACTTTTCTCCAATAACTAATGCAATTATTGCCATTTTAATTACATAATCCTATTATCCACCATGACCTCACATCGCATTTTTTTTTTTTTTTAAAGTGTTCTAATTACTTTTAAAAAAATTATATGATGATAAAAATTTCCTTTTTAAAAAAATTTATATATTATTTTTCCAATTTTCTTGAAATTTCCGTCGAGATAGGCACGTGAGAGGGACCGTTTCCAGAAAGTAAGGCACGTGACCGGCGGCTAAAAAAGTGACGAGAAAATGATGTATCTAATTTCTCACGATATATTGTAGTTCCAAGTTATCCGCAAATGAGATATTAAAAATAAAAGATTAATGTATTTGACCTAATAAAGTCTATAGTCAAACCGACAAACATAAAATAAAATAATTAAATATTGCTATTCCTTATCACTTGTCATTAGCCACGTGGGGTTTTCTAATAGTGCTTTGTTTCCTATCCTCAATGGAAATTTTGAAAATATTTTAATCAACTTAAAAGAAATATAAGCATATTTTTTTGAAAAAAAAAGAAAATATTAAGGCAGGAATTGGAATATAAATAAAATATTGATGTTTTTTTTTAATGATAAAGTCTATAGTTTTTTTTTATTTGAGATGTTTGAAGTTAAAGGTGTATATATTGCTTATATTAAAAATATTAAATATATGTATGATGAAGTTAAAATTGGGATTAGGACAATGAGAGGTGATTCAGAATATTTTTGCGATTGTAATGACATATAATAGGGTAGTCCTTAGCCACTTTCTTTGCTTTAGTGATGGACGAACTGACATGGACATATTTAAGAAGGAGTCATGGTGTATGTTATTCGCAAATAATTTAATATTGATTAACGAGATGTGTAATGAAATTAGTGATAGATTAAAAGTTTTCAGAGAGGTTGTAGAGTCTAAAGGTCTCAAGTTAAGCAACTAATGTTATTTAAGTGTCATGACACACGAGGCATAGTTGAAAGTGAAATACACACCAGTACTTGTTTGATATATTTTTTCATGCTATGTATAACTAATGTTTGTGTTAATTATATACTCTATTGTGTATTGGAGAGTGTATTATTAATACCATGAATTTCTAGACATTAGTAATACATTTTAATACCTGCATTAACATGGTTAAAGACCTAATTATCCTTCAAAATCACTTTTACATCTCTTCCATCATGAATTGATGCTCTCTAAATAGGTTAATTCTAATTAGTCTCCAACATGAATTGTTCGCAAATAAGAAATATAAATCACTTTCATAACGAGAATATTATTAACAAAAGGATATATCTAAGTCATTTCACTTCATTTAAGGATTAATTCAAACCATTTTCCTAACTTAAATCCATTTAGAAATAACTATTTTTTTTTCTGTTGATACATTTGGATATAACATTAAAACTAGATTTTAACAATTTTAGAAATCAATAAATGGTAAATTAAATACTCCCTTAGTTTAAAAAAGAATGACCTAGTTCCCTTTTTAGTCTGTTTAAAAAAAATGATCCCTTTTCTTTTTTGGCAACACTTTAACTTCAATTTTTCACGTGACATGTTTAAGGCCACAAGATTAAAGAACATTTTGATACATTTGTCATAACTTTAATTTAGAACCACAAGATTAAAAAAGTCTTTTTTTTTTCTTAAACTCCATTTCAAATTAAACTAGATCATTCTTTTTTGAAAGCGCGTATAATTTACCCATATTATCTTTCTTCCTTTAATAATTCCATAACATTTAAGTCGAAAATTATTTGTACAAAAAATTCTCAAGGAAAAAAGAAAATTTTATATCCTAGAAATTCCAGCTAGCCTTTTTTTTGTTTGTATATTTCTTCACCCCACATGTTTGGTCAGTGAAAATTACTCTCTTCCTTGCCATTTCCCTCAAAAGATAAATAAAAATAAAAATTGGAAAAATAAAAGCAAATCCCCACCAAGAAATTCCCATATTTATATTTAAAACAGAAACTGAGGTGTAGGCGGAGGAATAGAGGTAAAAGATTCTCCTTCTTTTAAAGAAAAGATTGAATCTTTATGTATTTATTTGTATTTTAGTTGGTGAAGAAAGTGAAAAAATTGGGAAAGGAGGAGAAAAGAGGCAACCCCTTCATCTCCATTTGGAGGAAGAAGGAGAGGAGGAGATGGGAATTTTGTATGATGATGTTGTGTTATTGAATCATTCAGAAAGAGAAGGTGACCCAAGTGTGATTACTGTGAATTGTCCTGATAAGACTGGTTTAGGTTCTGATCTTTGTAGAATCATTCTCTTCTTTGGGCTCACTGTTGTCAGAGTTGGTATGCTCTTACCCCCCCTCTCTCTCTTTTGTGTTGTTGCAAAGTAATTATAGTGGTGTTCTCACTGTGTGTGGCAGCGTGTGAAAAAGTTGATTTTGCTTGGGGTTATAAGTTTATTTTGTGTGTTTGTGGGGGCAGTGAGTGAAAAGATTGAATCTTTCTTGATATAATCTATGTGTTGTGCGTGTGTTGGAGGAGTGAAAAGGTTGAATCTTTCTTGATATATTCTGTGTGTGTGGGTGGGGGCAGAGAGTGAAAAGGTTGAATCTTTCTTGATATATTCTCTGTGTGTGGGTGGGGGCAGAGAGTGAAAAGGTTGAATCTCTCTTGATGTAATCAGTGTGTGTGGCAGGAGTGAAAAGTTTAAATGTTTCTTTAATATAATATAATCAGTTGTCTGTGTGGCAAAGAGTGAAAAGGTTGAATCTTTCCTGATATAATCACTGTGTGTGGCAAAGAGTGAAAAGGTTGAATCTTTCTTGATATAATCTGTGAGTGTGTGGGGGAGACTGAATAGATTGAATGTTTTTTGATATAATCAGTTGTCTGTGTGTGTGTGTGTGTGGCAGAAAGTGAAAGATTTAATCTTTCTTGATGTAATAATCTTTTTTTTTGTGTGTGTATGTGTGTAAAAGAGTGAATGATTGAATCTTTCTTGATATAATCAGTTTATTTTTGTGTGTGTGTGGGGCAGAGAGTGAAACGATTGAGTCTTTCTTGATATAATCATTTTTTTTATGTGTGTGTGTCAAAGAGTGAAAGATTGAATCTTTCTTGATAAAATCAGTTTATTTTTGTGTATGTGTGGCAGAGTGAAAAGATTGATTCTTTGTTGATATAATCAGTCACTGTTGAATTTCTGAAATTTGGTTGAGAGTCGGCTGGTTTTGAGTATTAATGGAATGCTTATGATTTCCTCAATCTGGGATTCTTTGATGCATACTGGTTACTTTTGGAAATTTGTGTTTCAGTTTTTTAGCTTTGTATTCTTGCTCTTCCATATACATCCAATTAAAGAAATTTATCTTTCATTTTGTTTCTTTGTGTGTGTGGTGGGGTGTGGCAGAGAGTGAAAAAATTGGATCTTTCTTTATATGATCAATTACTACTGTTGAATTTCCAAAAATTGGTTGAGTCTGCTGGTTTTGAGGAAGGATTAGTGGAAATACTTTTTATTTTTAGAACGGAGTAACGCCTTGCTTGAATTTGTGAATGGAATGCTTAAGGATTCTTTGTTGCGAAGGAGAACTGAACCTACTGGTTTCATTTGCGGTATGTGTGTTTCTTTTCTTCTTTTTGTAATATTTTTTAGTGGAATGAAGTTTAGCTTTTGTGTGTTTGTGGAACTTGTATTTTTCGAATGTCAATTTTGAATCTGTTTCAATGAGATTGGAGTACTCTGTAGTATGTGTTTGAAGATAATTCAGATAGTTTGGTTAATAATACAACTGTATGTTGGAGATTTTTGTAATTTGCCATCTTACACTTAGATTCTTTTGTTGAAGATGTATCGACAGACGGAATATGGTGCTACATAGTGTTTTGGGTGGTGGGAAGACCAGACACAAGATGGAATCTGTTAAAGAAGAGACTTATGGGAGCTTGTCCATCTTGTTCTTCTGCCTCTGGCATATCATATTATCGTGCTGAGTTGTCTCCTAGGCCTCCTGATGTATTCCTCTTGACATTTTGTTGCAACGATCGAAGGGGCCTTTTGCATGGTAACTAATTTGAAGCTTGTTTTCTAAACTTGCTGTGCAGTACCTTTTTTCTTTCTAATCTAAATCTTGTGAATGTGTTTTTCAATTGATTTAGACTTATTCATAACTGTAGTAATTTTGTTTTTTGTTAAATTATGGTAGATGTGACAGCAGTACTTTCCGAGCTCGAGCTTACAATAAAGAAGGTGAAAGTATCCACTACTCCAGATGGAAAAGTGATGGACCTGTTCTTCATCACTGACACAAGGTTCGGAATTTTTTCGGTCTCTTAAAGTTGCTGACCGTCATTTGTTGTTTTGTACGTGTAAATCCGTTTTTGCTGCTTCCTCTCTACCCTTCCCTCCTTTACTGAAGTATGTCTGCTTAGTAATTTGAGCTAGCAAAATCAATATGCTTTATTAACTGATGCTAATGTGGTTTCTACAAACTCCCACTCGCTTCTTGTGATTGTTGGCATATCTCATAGCAGCTTATCCTGTGAAAGTTGACTGCATTTTTATGGCATATCTCGTAACAACTTATCAAAGATCAATTCTATCATAAGCAAACCTATATGTTACTTGGTGAAGTTTTTGTGGAAATTAGTGCTAGCTTTGGGACTTCTGAAGAAAAACTGTGCTACCAGTGAGACTCCGTCGCTGAATTTTCAAAATGATTCAAACCTCGGAAACAGCCTCTCTACCTCCACAAGGTAGGGGTAAGGCTGCGTACACCACCCTCTCCAGACCCCGCTTGTGGGATTTCACTGGGTATGTTGTTGTTGTCAAACTTCTGTGCTGTGAACGTTTTTTTATAGTTGTAGTTAGGTACCGACGTGATTAACTTAGTGGCTAGTTTTAAGTTAAAGGGAATTCAGAAAATTTCCTGAGTCTTTTTTTTCCGCCTTGGTCACACCATCTTATTTATGCGAACCTTGTGCTGAAATGCTTAAGCCAGATTTCGGTTACAAGTAATTTTCTTTGTAAGTTCTCTCCGTTAGCGTCTTCCGAGTTTTTCATTTGACAAAATTATATCTTATTTTAGTTTAACATTTGTGTGATAAGAGTCCTAATTCAAATGTTTTATCAGAGAACTTCTACATACAAAGAAGAGACAAGAAGACACACATTACCAGTTGAAATCTGTTCTGGGTGACGCCATGATAAGTTGTGACATAGAAATGGTCGGGTCTGAAATCGCCGGGTGCTCTCAAGGACCATCATTTCTTCCTCAAGAAATTGCCGAGGACATGTTTAGCTTCGAAATACTTCATGAGCAACTGAGTACATCTCTTGCCTGCAATAAAGCGATTATCACCGTTGATAATTTGATGAGCCCTGGTCATACTCTCATCAAGATTGCTTGCCAAGATCACAAAGGTCTTCTGTATGACATAATGAGGACACTGAAAGACTACAATATTCAGGTACATAATTCTATATCTCTAAATATCTTTCGATAAAGTCTCGGGATAATCTGCACAAGGCGAATAAAATCTCTCAATAACCATATACATTATGAATACCAATATCCTGTTAGAAAAATATGACTTCTTAGCTAAAATTTGGACTTCTGATTAACATATACTCCCTCTATCCCAATTTAACTGTCTTGGTTTGACTTGACACGGAGTTCAAGTTTTTAAAGGGAGAGTTTTGAATCTCGTGGTGTTATTAAAGATGTGTGTAGTACTTTAAATCTTGTGGTCTTAAACTTGCCACGTAGAATGTTGGAATTGGAAAACTTACTAAATATAGGAAGAGACTCTTTTTCTCACTAGTTACTTCAATGTTGTATCAGATATCATATGGGCGATTCGCAGCAAAAGCTAAAACAGATTGTGAGCTTGAGTTGTTCATAATGCAAGCAGATGGCAAGAAAATAGTGGACCATAGCAAGCTGAATGGTTTGTGCTCACGTCTTCAAATGGAACTAAGTCGCCCTCTCAGAGTGTCATTGATGAACCGAGGTCCTGATGCAGAATTACTGGTTGCAAACCCTGTAGAGTTATCCGGCAAAGGTCGACCGATTGTCTTTTATGACATTACACTGGCTCTCAAGATGCTCAATATTGGCATCTTTTCGGTAAGTCATCATTTATCACTCTTATGGTTTATTTCTATCCTCTGCCTTAGAGATAATCGCGTGATAGGCTAGGCTAAAAGCTGGTTTGCCAGAGGAAAAATGTCATGACGTTGATTGAATGACATACTTTTTTCCTTTTTAATAACCGATAAGAGGGTCAGTGGTACACTGTTTGAAACTCGGTAGCTAATACCCCCCACCCCCCCCTCTCTACCCTTTTCCTCTGAAAGTCCAAGTTTTTCTCTGCTGCAAGGTCCGAAACCCGTAGAGCCACAACTATGTTGGTACCTCCAAAATTTCAAGAGTCCGAGCAACATAGCTTGGATGAAGGAAATTGTTGATAATAAAAATATCTCGAAGCTTTCCTACTGTAGTCGAGCGTCTAAATATGTAACTTCATTTGGCCACCTAGATAGGAAACTTAGTTGGAATGGAAATTAGAAAAGAGGAAACAATGCTGCTTGTCTCAATGCTATGCGTCTCACATAACGTGGATTTTAAATGCATTAGTCTTAACTTGTCGCTTATCACTTTTTTTCAGGCTGAAGTAGGGAGATATCAGATTGGTGATCGAGAATGGGAAATTTACCGTGTCTTACTGGACGAAGGGAATGGCTCGGGTCCCTCGAGGAACAAGATTGTGGAAGCTGTTTGGAAGATGTTGATGGGTTGGGAGTAAACAACTAGTGAATGTACAGTTCCTATGTTCATTGCTGAAAGACCTCATTTGACTTAATGTATACAGTGTATATAAGTGTATTAATCTAGAGGGAAAAAAAAACTAGGGTCTGTCAAGTTTCAATGCAAGATTTTGCAAGGCTAACCTTATAGAATCATGTGAGAAATGTGAAGAAGTTAAAAAGACTTTTTTTAAGTTTTAGTGTTTGTAGAAGTTGTATGTACAGATTATCTAGTATCATAACCTTTTGGGCTGAGTATTAGCTCCAAGTCTGCTGTTCATTTATAAGTTTTTTTTTCTGGTTTACTAGTGTTAAGTTATCGCGTGAGATCGCTCACATTGTCAGTCTTAGGTCCGGATAAAGGAGGAGGGTCGTTGTTGAGGGTTGATTGGGAATCACCTCTCTACGCACGTAAAGATAGGGTTAAGTCCGCATACATCTTATCCTCTCCGGATCCCATTTTTGGGATTACATTTGAGTTTGTTGTTTTAGTGTTATGGCAATGAGTAGGGGTTAAGTGAGACGAATCGTTTCAGTGTTTTTTCTCATCTCTTGAAGTGTTGGGGGAAAAAGTTATTCGATATTCTGTAAAATCGATCGAGGTGCATGCAATACTATGAATATTGGATAATATTGATGAGGAATGTTGCTATAAGTTACTTTTAGTACCTATTTACTTGAGTGTTTGAAAGCATAATTTGTTTTTGGCGTCAGATAAACGAGAAAGGTTGTGATAAGATATTTTTTTGTAAACAAGTGAAAGACATTTCTCAATGCTCTTACGAGATAATAATGAGTTAAACTACTTATGCTGACATGAAAGTTAACTCGATAAATTGAGCCTACTGCTAGGGTTCCAAACCTAAGTTGTGGAGAAAAGGTGAACTATTAAAAGTATATATTAAATGGACTAAAAAAGATACTCCCTCTGTCCCATTTTATATGAGGTAGTTTGATTTTTAGTCAGTCCCAAAAAGAATGACACATTTATTTTTTATACTATCAATAATCAAATATATATTGAACAGTTTAAAAAAGGGCGATCCGTATTCCGGTGCACAAATTATTTCATTGTTCATGCAACAAATACGGGAAATGCTTGCCACCTAAGAGGTATAATGTAAGCAACCTACTCTGACACGAGCATCCGTGAATATATATATATCTTTTTTTGGAAACTTTTAAATTCTAACTTTCCACATTGTAAATTTAAGACTTCAAGATCAAATAACATTTTGATACATTCTACATATTTTTAATTTAAGACCACAAGATTCAACAATTTTTCTTACTTTCCTCATTCCGTGTCATGTCAAAATCAGATAAATAAATTGAAGCAGGCGAATGTGCTTTAACATCAAATCATAATTCACATGAGAAAAAAAGAAGACATAATTCTTAGGTAGATTTGATCTGATTTGACTTGATGTAATTGAATGAAATGACAAATAGGCAGTCACCTTCAGTAATAAAGTGATGTAAAAATGTTTCCTAAAGTTAGTTTTGTTTTGGGGCCATTTCCAAAATTGGAGGAATTAAAGGAATATCAACATATTAATCAACCTACATTAAAAATATATATTTATTTAGAGAATCAATCGTAATTAAAATGAATTTGAATATATTCTCCTTACTATAAAGAATATACTCCCTCTGTCCCATTTTATATGAGGTAGTTTGACTCGGCACGGAGTTTAAGAAAGAAAGGAAGACTTTTAAAACTTGTGGTCCAAAATGAATGATAGAAATTTGTGTGGCTGTAAATCATTTCATTAAGGGTAAAATAGACATTTCATAGTTAAATTGCTACTTAATATGGAAATGTGTCATTCTTTTTGGGACTGACTAAAAAGGAAAGTAAGTCATATAAAATGGGACAGAGGGAGTATATTCTTTATAGTAAGGAGAATATATTCAAATTCATTTTAATTACGATTGATTCTCTAAATAAATATATATTTTTAATGTAGGTTGATTAATATGTTGATATTCCTTTAATTCCTCCAATTTTGGAAATGGCCCCAAAACAAAACTAACTTTAGGAAACATTTTTACATCACTTTATTACTGAAGGTGACTGCCTATTTGTCATTTCATTCAATTACATCAAGTCAAATCAGATCAAATCTACCTAAGAATTATGTCTTCTTTTTTTCTCATGTGAATTATGATTTGATGTTAAAGCACATTCGCCTGCTTCAATTTATTTATCTGATTTTGACATGACACGGAATGAGGAAAGTAAGAAAAATTGTTGAATCTTGTGGTCTTAAATTAAAAATATGTAGAATGTATCAAAATGTTATTTGATCTTGAAGTCTTAAATTTACAATGTGGAAAGTTAGAATTTAAAAGTTTCCAAAAAAAGATATATATATATTCACGGATGCTCGTGTCAGAGTAGGTTGCTTACATTATACCTCTTAGGTGGCAAGCATTTCCCGTATTTGTTGCATGAACAATGAAATAATTTGTGCACCGGAATACGGATCGCCCTTTTTTAAACTGTTCAATATATATTTGATTATTGATAGTATAAAAAATTCGTTACCATATCAATGTATATAGGGTATAGTTGTGTTGAGACTAGAAGAACAACTAAAGTTGAGACAAATTAAATAAAATGGCTATAAGATGGAGTAGAATTAAAAAGAAGTGGTTGAATGATTTTGATTACACTTTACAATAGTGGAGGAAGGGGTTCATCTGAGCTCCCTTCGACAAATTATCATATTGTATATATAAGTCAACTTTTTTTTTTCCGCTGTATATATAGTAAATGATGAACCCCTTAGATGAAAATCAAGCTTCCGCTCGCCACAACTTTCGTTTGCCTTTCTTGTTGTGTGATTATTTTTTATAGTTTCCAATAGATACCAAGTCTATGCAAGATCCCAGCAAGAACTGCCCAGAATGTAATTTCAGCAAATATCACATACAATAAAGTTCCCAATCTTTGTGATTTCCACACATCAAAGAATACATGATGTTGAATCCAATTTACCTGAAAAAAAGACAAAAAAAGAAAAGAAAAATGATTACTAATATATACTTTTCTAAATTTGGAAGACGCTACACCATAATAAAATCATTAATATTCGCTCAATAGAACCAGACTTTGCTATGTCAATAGTCATTATGACAAGAAGTAAAGTCTACAACCTCTACAACTCGAGACGTTGAGTTAATGATAGTTAGTTGACACCACCACTTACACATAATTCTGCATACGCCACTCATTTTACACAACTTTTGAGAAAATGTATATGATGGTACTTACAAGGTTGTTGTCTTCATTTTTGAAATACCATCCATTTATAAATCCAGCAAAGATGCCTTGTGCTCCCATTACAAATATCAACATTGCATTCATTCCAATCCATTCCAACCACAAAAATGGGATTCTCATTCCCAAAACATCAATCTATGTATTCAATTCCCAAAATAAAAATTTCGAATTAGAATACGAAATTGAGATCTTACTTTTAACCTATGTTGCTCGGACTAACCCAAAAATGATGTCTCATCCATGTCGGATCCTCAAAAAAAGCACTATCTTGGAGGATCTAACATGCACCTGTTGACATTTTTGCAGAGTCCGAGCAACATAGACTTTTTAAGTTTTCAAAGTTGGAGCAATTTGTATACCAGTATATAGAATCCAGAAAATACAATTCCAGCAGCACCAGCAGTGAAACAAACATAGCTAAAACTATATAGTTGTTTGTTTAGAGGAATTGCTGCACGAAAAAAAAAAAAAAAAAAGAACAAAAAAACAGAGAAAATTTTT